AAGTTTGTAATCTTTAAGTTTGACTGATCTCCGGATTCTCCGTTTGCTGTACCGACTCTGGTTGTCCTGTCCATTCTGATTCTTGGGATCATAGTTCTCGTCTTTTTCAGTTGGCAAGTCCTCCACTCTACCTGGTGCACAAGCAGGCTCGGCTTCTTCCTTTTCTTTTGTTGGAATCTGTTCATTCAGTAAACCATTGTCTCCTTTAACCACAAAGTTTTGTCTATTCTGAACTGAATTGTTCACTCTTAGCTGTATTTCTTCCTCTGCAGCCAGTTCTGATTTCTCCTCCTGCAAACTGTTGACTTTTTTGGGTCTTCCCCGTTTCCGCTTTGGAGGATCATTTTTCTTATTAGAAATAACAACCACTGGAGCACCAGCAGTGTTCAAAGTCGTTGGCTTTGGGGAACTATGATTATTTTGGAAGTCTGTGTAAGCCTTTACCAGGTCATAGATTTTTAAGAACTGAGCTGTAGACAGGATTTGTTCTATATTTTTCTCACTGGTGTGGAGATAACCTGTGTAGATAAATTCCAGCAGGATACTAAAGGTGTCTGCAACCATGCCCTCCAGCATATAAATGGACTGGCCGATCTCCCCCTCTTCTGCAAACATCATTGAGAAGTATTCACTACTAGCTGCGAGTAAGGCTTTGTGGGCTCGGAAATGCACATTCTCCACGATTAAAGTAATGTCACAGAGGAAGCCTTTCTTTCTCTGATCCTCAAAACTGGCCAGGACAGTGTCACTGTGAGTGTCAGAGTGTACAACAAGCAGCCCTGAAGGTGCTGGTGATGTTTCTGCCATTTTCTTTAGAAGCCAAGAAGGCTTAAATCTGAAATCAGAAAACAATGTTTAAAGAGGAGGAAGCATTGTCTAAAACGTTAATCCCATACTACATGAACCTACTATTCACTTAATCTGATTAACTGAATTTTACCACTTAAAAAAAATCTATTTTAAAACGTAGCTTTTAGTTTTCATTCCTGTTGTACCGTTACCTAGCTGGGTGACTTTCCATTATCCATGTAGCCTCTCAGGGTCTGTTTTCTTTTCTAAAAGGAAAGAATGGGATCAATCATCTTTAAAGTCCTTCCCAGCACTAACTTTCTATGGCTGCACAAATATCACAATGAGAACTACGCTGCTTCCATCTCATATATTAGCCATTTCTTCTGTGGGAATATTGAAAAAGGTGAAGAAAACGTACACGTGCACTGTGAATTTGGGGTAATAAGATAATAATAAGGTAAAGAATAAGGGGCCTCGTTGTGGAAGGGTGGCGTGGAAACCCAAGGCTGGCGCCAGCCGGCACCTGAAGCCCCGAGAAGCCCCGGGCCGGCAGAGTAGGGAGCGGTGGCGCGGGGGAAGCCCCCAGATCCGGGGTCAGGACCGTCGGCCCGCCGGGGGAGCGGACAGCTGGGTAGAGATAGATGCAGCCGGGGGTCCCCAGCCCACGGACGGAGGGTGCGCGGCGGACCTACCTCTCAGGGGCACCCGGCGGAGTCCGGGTCCCAGCCAGCCCACCCGACTGCCTAGCGGGCGCCCCAGTACCCGGCCAGCATCAGCCCTACGCTCCGCCCGGCTCGCCTCAGGGGCTTCTGCGCCGCCCAGACTTCGGTCCCTGCGCCGCCGCAGCCGCCGCAGCCAACCCGGAAGCGACGCCCGACCACGTGGCCCGCGGAGGCGCCCCCGGCAGCCGTCTCGGCGCGTGGGGGCGGGGCGCGGCGCAAGGGGCGGGGCGCAAGGGCCGGGCGGGACGCAAGAGGCGGGGCGCGGCGCGTGCGTGGGCGCGCGGCTCCGGGGACTGTGCTAGGCGGGGCGGCACCCCCGGGAGAGCGCCGGCGGTGTTGTCTTTGCGCTACATTAGGGTCAAGGGATGGGTATGGCGTTGAAACCCTGCACTGTGGGAATTTTTATATTGTATTAAACGTTAGCTCCTCACCGACACCTTAATCAATTTTGTCTCGTCCCAGATATGGCATTAAGTTCTTGAATGTGCGG